AAGGCGTCTTGTACATACCAGTTGCGTTGCTTCTGGGAGTATGGGTTCGAGTCACTTCTGGGGTGTGAGTTTTCAGTTATATATATATATATATATATATATATATATATATATATATATATATATATATAAAACAGCAAAATCACTCAAGTACAGGCGACTGGAAGGTCAATACCTCTTTGTTCCCATAGCGTCTGAGACGCATGGCCCCTGGAGCAAGAGTGCCTTGGGATTTCTCAAGGAATTGGGTTCCAAGCTCATTGACGTCACCAGAGACCCAAGGGCTTCCAGTTTTTTGTTTCAGCGTCTCAGTGTGGCGATCCAGAAGGGAAATGCTTGCTGCGTCCTCGGTTCCTGTCCAGAAGCGGAGGAGCTTCAAGAGATCCATAACCTTTAGGCATTTGTCTTGTATGTTTTGTAACCTTTAAATACACAATAAAGGAAAAAAAAAAGGGAAGGGGGTGGTAGGAGAAAAGCACACAGAAACTGTATTGGAGGGGACCTACATTCCCTCCAATGCGTTATGTGTGGTTTCCTCCGAGGCTATGGGTCCCCCTTCTTCCAGCCAGAGGTGGTACTCCCTTCCCTATATATATATATATATATATATATATATATATATATATATATATATATATATATATATATATATATATATATATATATATATATATGTCGTACCTAGTAGCCAGAACTCACTTCTCAGCCTACTATTCAAGGCCCGATTTGCCTAATAAGCCAAGTTTTCCTGAATTAATATATTTACTATAATTTTTTCTTATGAAATGATAAAGCAACCCTTTTCTCTATGTATGAGGTCAATTTTTTTTATTGGAGTTAAAATTAACGTAGATATATGACCGAACCTAACCAACCCTACCTAACCTAACCTAACCTATATTTATAGGTAAGGTTAGGTTAGGTAGCCAAAAAAAGCTAGGTTAGGTTAGGTTAGGTAGGTTAGGTAGACGAAAAAACATTAATTCATGAAAACTTGGCTTATTAGGCAAATCGGGCCTTGAATAGTAGGCTGAGAAGTGCGTTCTGGCTATTAGGTACGACATATATATATATATATATATATATATATATATATATATATATATATATATATATATATATATATATATATATATGTCGTACCTAGTAGCCAGAATGCACTTCTCGGCCTACTATGCAAGGCCCGATTTGCCTAATAAGCCAAGTTTTCCTGAATTAATATATTTTTTCTTATGAAATGATAAAGCTACCCATTTCATTATGCATGAGGTCAATTTTTTTTATTGGAGTTAAAATTAACGTAGATATATGACCGAACCTAACCAACCCTACCTAACCTAACCTAACCTATCTTTATAGGTTAGGTTAGGTTAGGTAGCCGAAAAAGTTAGGTTAGGCTAGGTAGTCGAAAAACAATTCATGAAAACTTGGCTTATTAGGCAAATTGGGCCTTGCATAGTAGGCTGAGAAGTGCGTTCTGGCTACTAGGTACGACATATATATATATATATATATATATATATATATATATATATATATATATATATATATATATATACACATACACACACAGTATCTCTCCTGCCTGTCTATCCACACACAGTAACCCTCCTGCCTGCCTATCCACACACAGTAACCCTCCTGCCTATCCACACACACTACCCTCCTGCCTGCCTATCCACACACAGTAACCCTCCTGCCTGCCTATCCACACACAGTAACCCTCCTGCCTACCTATCCACACACAGTAACCCTCCTGCCTGCCTATCCACACACTGTAACCCTCCTGCCTACCTATCCACACACAGTAACCCTCCTGCCTGCCTATCCACACACTGTAACCCTCCTGCCTGCCTATCCACACACACAGTAACCCTCCTGCCTACCTATCCACACACAGTAACCCTCCTGCTTGCCTATCCACACACACAGTAACCCTCCCCTGCCTGCCTATCCACACACACAGTAACCCTCCTGCCTACCTATCCACACACAGTAACCCTCCTGCTTGCCTATCCACACACACAGTAACCCTCCCCTGCCTGCCTATCCACACACACAGTAACCCTCCTGCCTGCCTATCCACACACAGTAACCCTCCCCTGCCTGCCTATCCACACACACAGTAACCCTCCCCTGCCTGCCTATCCACACACACAGTAACCCTCCTGCCTACCTATCCACACACAGTAAAATATATACATATAAACATTGTCAGTACCTGGTCACCCCTATTGTTCCCCTTCCCATCATCACCAACAAGCTATCATTAGTAAGGAAGGTCTCATCAATATAGCCATACAATAGTTCACGTTGTTTTGGAGCCATAAATTTAACCTGAAGGTTTGTCCATATTAGTGGCCAGTTGAGGAGTGGATGTGCACCTCTTGGTCGAGGAGTGGATGTGCACCTCTTGGTCGAGGAGTGGATGTGCACCTCTTGGTCGAGGAGTGGATGTGCACCTCTTGGTCGAGGAGTGGATGTGCACCTCTTGGTCGAGGAGTGGATGTGCACCTCTTGGTCGAGGAGTGGATGTGCACCTCTTGGTCGAGGAGTGGATGTGCACCTCTTGGTCGAGGAGTGGATGTGCACCTCTTGGTCGAGGAGTGGATGTGCACGTCTTGGTTGATGATGCCGTCAGTCACTGGTTATTACGTGATAATCTGAGGACGGCGTCTCAGTAAATAAGACAACTGACGTTACTCCTTATAAACGAAAATATTGGTTAGTTAGGTGAGGAGGATGGAGGAGGTAGGTAGAGAGGCGCCTTGTTTGGTACACGTTCACAACACGTTTACAACACGTTTACAGCATGTTTACAACACGCTCACAACACGTTTACAGCACGTTCACATGTTCACAAAACGTCCACAACACGTTCACAACATGTTCACAGCACGTTCACATGTTCACAAAACGTTCACAGCACGTTCACAACATGTTCACAACACGTTCACAACAATTTTACAACACGTTCACAACAATTTTACAAAACGTTCACTTCAATTTCACAACACGTCCACAGCAGCAGGTCTCGTCCCGTGTCTCCACTCACTCCTGGCTTACGACTCCTGGGTAAGTGTGACTATGGCCAAACGCCCAGGTGTGTAGCGTGAGACACCTGTAGAGAACACAGCCAGCTGTACATGCACACTAGGGTGGCAGGTGTGTGTGTGTTGACCTGTGGGTGTAAGGGAGAGGGTGGCAGGTGTGTGTGTGTTGACCTGTGGGTGTAGGGGAGAGGGTAGCAGGTGTGTGTTGACCTGTGGGGGTAGGGGAGAGGCGGCAGGTGTGTGTGTGTTGACCTGTGGGGGTAGGGGAGAGGGTGGCAGGTGTGTTGACCTGTGGGTGTAGGGGAGAGGAAGGCAGGTGTGTTGACCTGTGGGTGTAGGGGAGAGGAAGGCAGGTGTGTTGACGTGTGGGGTGTAGGGGAGAGGAAGGCAGGTGTATTGACGTGTGGGTGTAGGGGAGAGGAAGGCAGGTGTTGACCTGTGGGTGTAGGGGAGAGGAAGGCAGGTGTGTTGACGTGTGGGTGTTGGGGAGAGGAAGGCAGGTGTGTTGACCTGTGGGTGTAGAGGAGAGGAAGGCAGGTGTGTTGACCTGTGGGTGTAGGGGAGAGGAAGGCAGGTGTGTTGACGTGTGGGGTGTAGGGGAGAGGAAGGCAGGTGTATTGACGTGTGGGTGTAGGGGAGAGGAAGGCAGGTGTTGACCTGTGGGTGTAGGGGAGAGGAAGGCAGGTGTGTTGACGTGTGGGTGTTGGGGAGAGGAAGGCAGGTGTGTTGACGTGTGGGTGTTGGGGAGAGGAAGGCAGGTGTGTTGACCTGTGGGTGTTGGGGAGAGGAAGGCAGGTGTGTTGACCTGTGGGTGTTGGGGAGAGGAAGGCAGGTGTGTTGACCTGTGGGTGTTGGGGAGAGGAAGGCAGGTGTGTTGACCTGTGGGTGTTGGGGAGAGGAAGGCAGGTGTGTATACCTGTGGGTGTAGAGGAGAGGAAGGCAGGTGTGTTTACCTGTGGGTGTAGAGGAGAGGAAGGCAGGTGTGTTGACCTGTGGGTGTAGAGGAGAGGGAGGCAGGTGTATGTTGACGTGTGGGTGTTGGGGAGAGGAAGGCAGGTGTGTTGACCTGTGGGTGTTGGGGAGAGGAAGGCAGGTGTGTTGACCTGTGGGTGTTGGGGAGAGGAAGGCAGGTGTGTTGACCTGTGGGTGTTGGGGAGAGGAAGGCAGGTGTGTTTACCTGTGGGTGTAGAGGAGAGGAAGGCAGGTGTGTTGACCTGTGGGTGTAGAGGAGAGGGAGGCAGGTGTATGTTGACGTGTGGGTGTTGGAGAGGAGTAGTAGTCAGGTGTGTTGACGTGTGGGTGTAGGGGAGAGGGAGCCATATTAACCTACTGGGGAAACTCAGGGTTACATGTTTTGCCTTCCCAGTCCGGGTATTGGGTACGGCGCCCCTCTACCCCTCCCCCCAGGACCTCCACCAAGCACGCCAACCTTGTACCCTGCCAGTATTCTTTACTCGTAACAATTACTGTCTAAATGCCCAGGGGTATAGGTACGGTGACTTAACATAATAGAGAGGACGCTGTGTTTACATGTTATCATCAAATACTGTTTGTTATACGAACGACTTGTGTTGGGGTGTGTCCACTTGGCCTCAAGCACAGTGGTATACCCAGCTAGGTATACCCTCCGGAGTATGACGGAGAGAGATGTGCTTCAGAGTGTCATGACAACTTTAATATAATGTTGGGCGGGGAGAACCATGTGCTTGTTCAACTGGTCGTCGCCCCGCCTGACTGGACCCAGCGTTAGTGAGCGACCACGCAAGAAAACACTCGAATAATTAATTAATTGACGCGACACAGTTAATTTGGGCCCCCCGTCTCCATAGCAGCGTAAAACACTTACTGTAAATAGATTGTAAGACGGTTGATGTATTTATTTTACTGCCTAACAAATGACGTGCGTGGTAATGAGTGACATGATACAAGTTATACTGTGTTGCTTACCTTAGAGACGGTGAAGATGGAAGGCTTTACTGGTGCTTCACATCCTCCAGCGGAGGAGACGAGGGCCGCGCTCAGGCGCCCACTGGCAACACATTTTTGAACTTGTATGATTTGTTTGATATTTCCGGGCAGGAACCACCTCTGTAACCTCACTCGTATTCCTTGATCATCTTCGCTCCTCTCACTCTCCTAATTCTTTGAGTATTTCTCAACGCTCGTGGAGAGCGTAGGTAGTCCTCCGTCAGTGGCGGGACACCCGTCACCTGACGTCCGTGTCATGGCGGAACATCCCCCAGAAACCCCGAGAGACACGTCCCGGGGAGCTTGGTAATTAAAGCTTAGGAAGGTGGCGCCGCTGGCAGAGACGTGGCCGTCAGTGGCCGGCACCACCAGCAGCAGCCTCACGCCCCCCGGGTGTACTCGCCACCTCACCGGGCTACACTCACTCCTATATTCTACACTATCTCTGTTACGTTCTAGCCTAAGATCACTTATTTCGGGCTGACCTAAGCTGCGGTAACGACCTTGGACGATACGTTCACAGTCTGGCTGCCTGGAGGTCGTGATCATATTTGTGTCTGACGTACGTGTCGAAGCTCGCGCAGTTCCGTAACATCATTGTTATTGCCGTTGGGCTTGCGCTTGTCAGGCTGCGGGCGGCGCACGGGCGTGTCTGTGATGAGCGCACAGTGAGAGTTGGTGTCGGACTCCGCCCCGTCAGTGTGGCTAGAGAGGTGGTTAAGGCGAGGCTGGGTGAGAGGTGTGGCAGCGGCAGACTCGGCGTCGCCTTGGGCGTCGCCTCTCCTGCCGTGTTCCCTGCCGGAGCCGTCACCGTCGCCGCCTCCAGAGCTGAGCAGGCCGCCACACTCACCTGGCTTCTCCGGCGACATCATGCCCAAGGCCGCCGCGATCTCGGGATTCGGCACGCATGGATTATCTCCTTGTAACACTTTTATCTTCTGAATCATTTCTTGTATTTCAAAGCGTAAAATACCCACAAAACACAACTTAATAAATGCTATGACACAGAAGCCCAGTATCATGAGCGTCTCTGCTGAATTCAGCAGCCACTTTTCCAGGTGCGGGGCGCAGCCCTTGGCGTGGTAGTCCTTGTCGTCAGCGTCCCCACAAGTCAAGTTACGCTCGTACGCACGCCCCGGCTGGTTCTCGGGGCGCGCGTGACTTTTGGAATGGTCTGAATTGGACTTGCCGCGCTGGTAGGGGTCCACGTGGCGCGCTGCCTGGTCTGCCTGCGGGTAGGTAAACTGGCGGGAAGCAGACGTGGCGCCCTCGCTGTCGTTCTTGACGCAGCACGACGCCGGCAGCTTGATGTAGACGTGTGGGTGACGGTTCTCCCACCACGTGGTGTTGTAGTCCCGCGGCCCCGCCACACCGCAACACTTGGCCGCCGTCTGGAGGGTGTCCCAGGCGTCCGTGACGTCTGCGTCCTTACCGTAGTGGTTGAGCAGAGTGGAGCGAGCATAGGGGCGCAGACCTTCCGTGAGGTGGGAGAAGCGGTAGAGCCAAACCAGCCCCACCACAACGTCTCCCAGCAGCAGGAACAGCAGGAGCAGCCAGTAGATGTTGAGTAGTTTCTGGGAGAGTCTGAGCGCCCCTACGCAGCCCAGCGCCTGCAAGACGCCCGCCTGCAGCAGCAGTGCCACGTAGCCGTAGAGAAGCGTAGGGTGGTAGGCAGGCAGCGCTGGCACCAGTGTCAGGTAGGGGTGCGATGCCACGCTCAAGGCCACGCCCACGAAGACGAACACTGACACGAGCAGGACGGCATTGCACGTGTAGATCCACAGTCGGTAGTAACGCATTGCCTTGCGTAGGAACATTACCGCGGCCATGCGAGGCCAGACGCTGGCCGCCCCAGGCGGAGGCAGCAGCGGTGGCGGACTGGGCGGAAGCCACAGTCGCACTCTGGCGGACCCCCGTGCCCGCCCGCTACCCCGTCCACGCCCTCAACAACCGTGTCAGAGTGGCACGTGCGACACCTGACGCTGTGCCAACCTTACTGACGGGAGCGAGGAGTTGTAAGGAGGCGGCGCCCTGCCTTCCCCCGCCTCCACCGGTGACTGGCCACGGGTATATTTGGCCAGCCTTCGTCACGGAGCGCCACCACCTGTCACCTCGTGCCACCACCTGTCAGCGCCACCACCTGTCACCTCGTGCCACCACCTGTCACCTCGTGCCACCACCTGTCACTTGTGGCCGCCGCCGCTCACGGCCTCCGGAGGGTCACCTGTGCCATGCTTTCCCGGGCCGTCCTACCTCTTGGGTAACTTTGGGCTGTTGCTGTCAGGTTGCATAGTTACTGACTGTTGCAGGCTCTCACGCTCCACCACCTGCCACAGTTACACGTGGGGCCTCGTGTCGGGGCCCCGGAGCCTGCGCCAGGCAAGAGTGTGGGTAGAACACCTTCAGGAGAGATACAGGTCAGCAGGTTACTTGATACACAAAGTGTGGGTTAGGGTGGAGGCGGAGGTAACATCCGGGAAGACCAGCAGGCAGGGAAGAGTTGCCCATGAGTGACGCGTTACGGTGACCTCCAAGGTGGAGTGACTGTCCCTCCACTCTGGATGATTATATCAGCGTCACGGCGTAGGTGGAGAGGTTGAATAATACTGTGTGTGTGTGTGTGTGGTGGGTGTGGCAAGAGGGTGTAGGGTGTAGGGGTCGGCCGTCAAGGGTCGCCAGGGCCGTGCAGTCCTGCCTCGCGCCAACCATCCACAAATCCAACCATGGTCGGCGGGCCCCGCTGCCTCTCACTGACTCTCAGTTATCAACTGTTGCAACGGAGGCACTCCTTGCGTGGCGCCACCAGCGGTTGCTCCTGGCCTGACTCACTCCCATGGCACCGCCGCCCGCACACAACACCAACATAATACTTGTAGAGCACCCATGTTGTTCCCGGTAATACTGTCCCTGGTGAGAAGAGTGTAATACTGAAGGGGTGTCGGGGCGACTGTTCAACACTGGAGGCCAGACGTCGTGGCCGCCACCGTCGCTGTCGTACACTGGCACGTTGTCATCGGCGGGGCTGTCCTCCGTCGCCGCCACATCTGAAACAGGAAATTATAAATTAGATTTACAGTAAGCGCCCCTGAGGTCAACAAGAGCGCCCCTGAGGTCAACAAGAGCGCCCCTGAGGTCAACAAGAGCGTCCCTGAGGTCAACAAGAGCGCCCCTGAGGTCAACAAGAGCGCCCCTGAGGTCAACAAGAGCGCCCCTGAGGTCAACAAGAGCGCCCTGAGGTCAACAAGAGCGCCCCTGAGGTCAACAAGAGCGTCCCTGAGGTCAACAAGAGCGTCCCTGAGATCAACAAGAGCGTCCCTGAGGTCAACAAGAGCGTCCCTGAGGTCAACAAGAGCGCCCCTGAGGTCAACAAGAGCGCCCCTGAGGTCAACAAGAGCGTCCCTGAGGTCAACAAGAGCGTCCCTGAGGTCAACAAGAGCGCCCCTGAGGTCAACAAGAGCGCCCCTGAGGTCAACAAGAGCGCCCCTGAGGTCAACAAGAGCGCCCCTGAGGTCAACAAGAGCGCCCCTGAGGTCAACAAGAGCGCCCATATGGCCTTAACAAGGCAAAACAAAATATTAGAGATCTGACACTACATACACGTGACCACGTGGTGTCACGTGGTTAACTGACACTACAGTTAACCACGTGACACCACAGTTAACCACGTGACACTACAGTTAACCACGAGACACCACAGTTAACCACGTGACACCACAGTTAACCACGAGACACCACAGTTAACCACGTGACACCACAGTTAACCACGTGACACCACAGTTAACCAAGTGACACCACAGTTAACCACGAGACACCACAGTTAACCACGTGACACCACAGTTAACCACGTGACACCACAGTTAACCACGTGACACCACAGTTAACCACGTGACACCACAGTTAACCACGTGACACCACAGTTAACCACGTGACACCACAGTTAACCACGAGACACCACAGTTAACCACGTGACACCACAGTTAACCACGTGACACCACAGTAACCACGAGACACCACAGTTAACCACGTGACACCACAGTTAACCACGTGACACCACAGTTAACCACGTGACACCACAGTTAACCACGTGACACCACAGTTAACCAAGTGACACCACAGTTAACCACGAGACACCACAGTTAACCACGTGACACCACAGTTAACCACGTGACACCACAGTTAACCACGAGACACCACAGTTAACCACGTGACACCACAGTTAACCACGTGACACCACAGTTAACCACGTGACACCACAGTTAACCACGAGACACCACAGTTAACCACGTGACACCACAGTTAACCACGTGACACCACAGTTAACCACGTGACACCACAGTTAACCACGTGACACCACAGTTAACCACGTGACACCACAGTTAACCACGTGACACCACAGTTAACCACGTGACACCACAGTTAACCAAGTGACACCACAGTTAACCACGAGACACCACAGTTAACCGTGACACCACAGTTAACCACGTGACACCACAGTTAACCACGTGACACCACAGTTAACCACGACACCACAGTTAACCACGTGACACCACAGTTAACCACGTGACACCACAGTTAACCACGTGACACCACAGTTAACCACGTGACACCACAGTTAACCACGTGACACCACAGTTAACCACGTGACACCACAGTTAACCACGTGACACCACAGTTAACCACGTGACACCACAGTTAACCACGTGACACCACAGTTAACCACGTGACACCACAGTTAACCACGTGACACCACAGTTAACCACGTGACACCACAGTTAACCACGTGACACCACAGTTAACCACGTGACACCACAGTTAACCACGTGACACCACAGTTAACCACGTGACACCACAGTTAACCACGTGACACCACAGTTAACCACGTGACACCACAGTTAACCACGTGACACCACAGTTAACCACGTGACACCACAGTTAACCACGTGACACCACAGTTAACCACGTGACACCACAGTTAACCACGTGACACCACAGTTAACCACGTGACACCACAGTTAACCACGTGACACCACAGTTAACCACGTGACACCACAGTTAACCACGTGACACCACAGTTAACCACGTGACACCACAGTTAACCACGAGACACCACAGTTAACCACGTGACACCACAGTTAACCACGTGACACCACAGTTAACCACGTGACACCACAGTTAACCACGTGACACCACAGTTAACCACGTGACACCACAGTTAACCACGTGACTCCACAGTTAGCCACGTGACCACAGTTAACCACGTGACACCACAGGTGACACCACAGTTAACCAAGTGGGGATACATTTCACAACGACAGGGGAAGCTCCGATCATCATATGCAAATTGCGTGTTGATTTATGAAGCCAGAAATTATCATATCATTTCCAACTTTTGATGGGGAAATGGACGTTAATGGGACGTTAATGGGGCGGGCATTTGGTCCCGGCGTAATTACCGCATACAGCCCTTAACTTCACAACGACAGGGGAAGCTCCGATCATCATATGCAAATTGCGTGTTGATTTATGAAGCCAGAAATTATCATATCATTTCCAGCAGTTACAGCCCTTTGATGGGGAAATGGACGTTAATGGGACGTTAATGGGGCGGGCATTTGGTCCCGGCGTAATTACCGCAGTTACAGCAGTTACAGCCCTTAACTGTAACTGTTACATGCGGTAGTGTTAGGGGGGAACACCTGTTTAGGTAGGTTGTAGTTTCAGATCTAGCTACTCTGAACGAAGTGTCCATGTAAGCACGGGCTATGGTGAGCCCGTAATTAGGTAGGTGTTATGAGCTGCTCTAATTCCGCGGGTCCGAGGCCCTCGTTAATTAGGATGTTGGATTGGAAAACAGGCTGTCAGTCCAGGATTACGGTGTGGTATTTTGCCAGGCTTCGGTAAGCCCAGTGGCGGCGGGTAGAAGTGGGAAATACAGTGAGAGGTATGAAAGCAGGCGGGACTGTCCGCCTTGCTGACACGATGTGTGGGTGTTGGCAGCTAAGCTAAGCTGGCTCCCTCTTGTCAGGGAGCTGTGAGTGTGTGAGAGGTTCTTCACATGTGTTTCACCATATATGGATGTCCATAGATGAATACTGTGTAGCATTCATATATACACACTCCGATGCTTCCACACATGTTGTTCTCTTTAAGGCTCTTTATTTTATTATTATTATTTATTGATTTATTCATACATATACATATATATTTATATACATATACACATTTATATATACATACACACATACATACATACTCATTTTTTTTAGTATGTGGCATACTTGGCATACTCAACTCAAGCCCTCCCTCCTCTTCTACTCCCCAAGGCCCTCCTTTTCCCTCATTCCCCTAAGCACTCCCTCCCCCCATACCCACCCCAAGCCTCCCCTTCTCCCACCCACCCCCCTTGCCTCCCCCTCTCATCCTCCCTGGTAGGAATGATTGACCACAGTGTACTTGAGTATCTGGTTGAAGAAGGGTTAAGGACCTCGATGAGGATAACTGACAACAAAAGGCTGGCATTCCGAAAGGGAAACTATGAGGAGATAAGGAAATTCCTAACAGATATAACATGGGAAACAGAGTTCAGGGGAAAGACGGCCCAAGACATGATGGACTACATCACACAGAAGTGTAAGGAGGCAGCAGACAAGTTTGTCCCGGTCCAAAAGGAAAACAATGAAATGCATATGAGAAACCCATGGTTTAATCAGAGATGTGGGCTAGCTAAGCAGCAACGTAAAAGAGCATGGAGAAACTATAGGAATAACAGGACACTGGAGAGCAGAGAAAGATACCAGAATGCCAGGAATGAATATGTCAGGATGAGAAGAGAGGCAGAAAGACAATACGAAAATAACATCGCAAGCAAGGCAAAGACTCAGCCTAAATTGTTGCATAGCAACATCAGGAGAAAAACAACAGTAAAGGAACAGGTTATGAAATTAAGGATAGGGGCAGACGGATTTACTACAAACGACAAGGAAGTGTGTGAGGAACTGAATAAGAAATTCCAGGAGGTCTTCACAAGGGGAAGGGGAAGTTCCAGAGATAAGAGAGGGAATAGTTAACCAGGAACCACTAGAAGAGTTTGAGATTACCAGTGGGAATGTAAGGAAGCACTTGCTAGAGTTGGATGTGGCAAAGGCTATAGGCTTGGATGGAATCTCCCCTTGGGTACTAAGGGAAGGAGCAGAAGCACTGTGCCTGCCATTCTCCATAGTGTATAACAAGTCACTGGCAACACGGGAACTGCCAAAAATTTGGAAGACTGCTTATGTAGTCCCGATATATAAGAAAGGGGATAGGCAGGAGGCACTGAACTACAGGCCAATGTCCCTAACCTGCATACCATGCAAGCTGATGGAGAAGATTGTGCGAAGAAAGCTACTGGAACATCTGGAGCTAAAGAACTTTGTAACACAGCATCAACATGGGTTCAGGGATGGCAAGTCCTGCCTCACAGGGTTACTTGAATTATATGACCAGACAACAAAAATCAGGCAAGAAAGAGAGGGCTGGCAGACTGCATATTTTTGGATTGCCAGAAAGCCTTTGACACAGTGCCACACAAGAGGCAAGAGAGAAATCTGGAGATGCAGGCAGGAGTGAAAGGGAGGGTACTCCATTGGATAAGGGAGTACCTAAGCAACAGAAGACAGCGAGTCACTGTGAGGGGTGAGGTCTCAGATTGGCGAGACATCACCAATGGGGTCCCGCAGGGTTCAGTCCTTGGACCCATACTGTTTCTGATATATGTAAATGATCTCCCAGAGGGTATAGAATCGTTCCTCTCATTGTTTGCTGATGATGTAAAAATTATGAGGAGGATTAAAACAGAGGATGATAGGAGGCCACAAGATGACCTAGACAGACTGAGTGAATGGTCCAACAAATGGCTACTAAATTTCAACCCGAGTAAATGCAAGGTCATGAAACTAGACGGTGGAAACAGGAGGCCAGACACAGGATATCGAATGGGAGATGAAGTACTTTATGAAACGGACAGAGAGAAAGATCTTGGAGTTTTTTTTTTTTTCTCG